ACAGAATGTTTTCATCTCACGTCACATATCTTCTTTCGGTTTCGATTCTAAGGGAAGACAAAATATTTATCACCTAGACCTAACAACACAATGGAAGGCATCACCATATTTCATGGAATATTTCTTGTATAATGAATCGGAAGAACTGGGATGTACGGTATGAAACGAGGGCGGTAGTACGGAAATTGGTTTGGGTCCCCAACATTCAGGTAAGCTGATATTGGTTGAAGTAATTACTTGTCGAAGACCTTCAACACAACAGAAATACATCCAATGAAGCAGAATTGTGTGCTTACTCGTCGAGGCATTAAAGTGGTGGAGACAGACCTTCAAGGACCATGTATATCGCTTTTTTCAAATACTGGTTAAGTAAAACTGCGAGTACTATCGAACGTGTTTGAGCACATTCATAATGATGGTGGATCTAACAGGATCATTATTTGGGTTTAAAAAATCAATAACTTCATCAGAACATCCTATTTTGAATGGAGAATGGGTACTACAGGTTTAGGTAGATATTGCTGCTGTTAATAAATGGCATCAGCTATTTTAATAAATGTTTCAGGTAGCTCATCACAGATCATACATAGTGATAAATCGAGATAACTCACTACAATCAGGGAAATACTAAAAGCTGGAGAAATTTCTCCATAGGACAGGAGGAGGAAATATAAATGTTGGTCAAGACACCTGATCGAGTGTTGGTCAATTGTCTCTCTAGACTTATATTCGTGAACATAGACACGAATGTGACCGGTGGAGTGCGTAAGTATTTGCTTCACATTCATCCACCTATTGTTATTGATGCAGGTCACCAGGCTTTCTCCACGCTGATTGAACGTTGCAGGACCATGATCTAGGTAACTAATAAGGCCCTCGAATTGGGTTATCACTTCCTCTTTCGCCTCAAGTAGCCAGATGTCTTTTATGAGAGTTGCACTTCACTCAGAACATTTCAAACTGCTGAAAACGTCAAATGTATCTACTCACTTCCCAAGCGGTGAAAGGATGCTGTTGCTGATAGTGACCAATTAAAATAGTTGTAACAAATCTATTTAACACAACGCTTTTCTCATCCACATGAATGCTTCTTCTGTAATTATTCCGCTCTGAGTTTTTAAGGAAAAGTGACCAATCATCAAAGTCTTAGAGTAAGAATGTAAATTACCCTACTAGGCATGATTTGAGGTATTGAGGTAAGTGATCGTTTTATATTGACGAAAGCAGACCGGCTAATTCATTTCGATCATTCAGTTGTCTACGTGACCAAGGTTGTTGTACTCAACGACATCAGTACAGCCTTTACCAGATGATTGCTATGTTGTTGTTGACTTTGATAATCTGATAACGTTATTTTCCTTCTTTAAGGTTTGACTGCAACAATTAAGGCCCTGTATGACGACCCACAAAGAACGGAGTAATAGACGGCGAAGATGAAATTCGAGCACACGTCATTCGGAACGATACGTTGGCAACCCGAACCTCTCAATTAAACGAAGGGTTAGGATTCTTGGTTCGAGAATTATTCACATCAAAAATTAACAGAAGCAGAACAACCTGCATTGTTAAATGTAAAATCCATTTTCCATGTAGAAACGGTGAAGTTCCATTGTTGATTGGTGACATTAATTATAATGCAGCCTTCGACGCAAAAGACTACCTGAGTAGACAGAATATATCGTTCGTTGTAAGTCACAGTGTTGACCGTACCAATGGACAAAGTGTACAGCTTCACCTTTAAACTGCCTAAAGTCCTGAAAGGTCGGCGAATTTTCCGTAGTATAGACCTTAGATGGTCAAACAGGAAAAACGCATTACAGTTGGGGGCAGACGCAAGCAGTACAATAAGGTTTTGTGTCCGGAACTCGACGTGTCACAGCGCGAGTTGCCCATGAGTTATCGTGGTCACTATTGTTATTTGAAATTGCTCTTGATGTGCAATTGTTCGGGTGATGTTCAGTGTTTCTTCTAGTCATATGTTTTCATATTTTCCGACACATTTTCCTGGTGTCTTGCATCTACTGCGCACAATGCACATGAATCAAAAATCCTTTTTCACTGATAATTCAAGCATCAAAATGATTTTGACGATCAGCTTTCCATAGGCACTGCATGTTGCTACACGGAAGTCCCTTTACAGCAACACGGGGAAATCATGTGCCTGTAAACACTCATAACTTTCAATAAGTTTCTCTTGTTAAAGCCCGGGTAAGCTGATCGCATTTGGGTTGCACCGAATCCGAATCATTTGTTTCCGAAACTCCTCCTATGCATCAACTCGCGCGATTTGAAATAACAAAACGGAATTATCAATGAACCGCACTGACCCTCATCCGTGGTGTGCTGGCTCCCTCGAACTGGTGCGTTCTCATGTATCAGTATACCACGTGCGGTGTTTCGACCGGTAAAGTCAGACTAATTCACACTTGCTTCGACACTAATAAAATGAAATTTGAGAATTTTATTAATGCACCATCCCCACAGGTCATCTTTTAACAATTTAGTCGGCTAAAGAGTAATGTGCTATTAGCTAAATTAAATCAATTACCCCGTGTCCCGTGGATCCTTAAATCAGGGGTTATGTGGAAGAGCTGTGCAGCACAGGAACGAAACACATGCTGTGGCCATTGGGAAAATTGATATCTCAGGATAAATGCTTCTGGGTTGTCAGTTAGACCGTTCTAGCAGGGAGAAAATATGGAAGACTAGTTTTGTGTCTGATGCGTTTGTCCTTTACTGGTATAAATGCATGTTACTTCATCGCCAAAGGGGATGACTACAAATTAATTATAAAGGTTATTTTTTTGGAGTTGGTCGTCAGTATCCGATAACACCCGATCGTTTGAGTATTGAAAGTTTGCACCTTAAAATTAAGAAAAAACATCGCGCCATTCCATCATAAATCTTCTTTCTCTGTATACATATAATTGATTTTCATCATATTTTTAAAGTCTTGAACTTCAGTGTTGGTATCTACATGCACTAATTGATGATGTCTGCTTGAAATTACGAATTAACTGTGGTAAGCCATCAACCAAGCCATAGTTCCGCATTTACATGGCCAGTAATTCTTTCGTCGGGTGGTCTGTGCTTGTATTAAATTAACTACCGCATTCTGATCGAGAGCAACAACGTATGGCCTGTCCATGAAGCATATACGACTATTGAAATTACTATTCTCCGGGGGAAATCAGACAATATCTGTCCTTTATTTTTCATTTAACAATATTTAATTAATTATCTGTGAACTTATAAATTGCCCTTACTTTCCATCACGGAAGCCATATTCAGCAATGCAGATTTGAACTGTGTCGATCGATCGCATGGTACCACCTCACCAGACCACTGATGTGACGTCGTGGATCACACACACACACACACACACACACACACACACAAGCTTATATAGCCTCACACAGATAAATGACAAAATTATGGTTACAATTACCTCGCCCATGTGAACTGATCCTACTAAATCGATCACTCAAACAGCTAATAAGCACATACCAGGCACGATCCACGTGCGATAGTTAAGCAACTGAAAATTCGAATCTGTTGACCAGACAAAGTTCTTCGAGAAAGGTGGATAAGTCATCACCATTACTGTATGTTTGGTTACATTTTCTTTTTAAGTATAAATAAAAACCTTTTGGTTTACAAAATATGAGCAAAACACCTAATTTCTCAATGAAATCGACATTTTGACTGTGATGTTTACATATTTCGCTAAATTTAGCTCCAAGCTTCTGTTTTAGGTCATGCACCTTTATAGTTTGAACATGATTTATGAAGACTGGCAAACGGAGGTTGACTTCAATCAATCACGATCAATCGATTGTTTTACTAGGAGAAATCGGTTTTCATACACCTAATGAAAAACTGATCAAGCATTTAAAGGTCATTCCATTTCGCCACGCCTATAGCCGAATCACTCCACACTAAACGCTTTACACAATCACGCTTCTCATTGGATGAATTCCTGGCGGTTTCTGATTGGACAAAACAGCAATCAAACAAAGTGTATCATATTTGTCTGTTTATTAAACTTCAATGACTTTGCTTCACATTTCTCGTAACAAATGTGGAACTTTTAAAACAAAATGATGGATATGAATACTTCCATTGCACCGACTCTTGTAAATGAACGATATGACGATGTGCAATTTGCACAACGATTTGCACCACAAGTTCTCCTAATTGAGCGCCTCAATTTTCCATTATGGACCATTATTGGCATTCCCGGCGGCATATTTAGCATGCTTATTTGGAGTAGCCGTCCAATGCGACGTGGTGGTAGTGCCGCCGCAGCCATCTATCAGACCTGTCTCGGAATAACCGACGTGACGTTTCTACTGGTGTTTTGGACCTGGCATCTACAAATATCCTGGCACATGCATCTCTTGGATCACCCTGTTATTTGCGAAGTTTTTCCAGTGTTTCACTATTGTGCACAGTATCTAAACAGTACACTGACCTTCACATTCACACTGGAACGGTTCTTAGCCATTTGTTATCCGTTCAAGTCGCAGCACTGTTTGATCCGATCGAACGAGCGCGGTGCACTCAAACTGATGGCCATACTGACCGCATTTTGTTTATCTATCGGTGCTGTTCAGTCATTAATTTTTCGTTTCAATGGAAGCTCATGTGAAGTTCGCCCCGAAGTGAATGACCTGGCCGATGTGCGATACACCTTGTATCGTATTTGGACATTACTCACAGAAGCAGTGTTCTTCTTCGGAATGCCACTGACGTGTCTCGTATTGAATGTGTTCGTGATTCGTGTTCTGAGGCGGAGTGTGAATGCGAAACGAAACCCGTTACTTTCGGTCCTGGTCAACGGTTCGGCAAATGTGTCCGAGAACGAAGCGAACGACAGTTCATGTGCTGTGACAAAAGGTGTCCGATCCAGCACCCTAACATTGCTGTGCACATCATTCTATTTGACAATAGTTCAATTGACTATGGCAATCACGATGGTGGTTGTGAATTTCCTGCCACCGGGTGAACAAGAACTGACTGATGAACAACTGGAACAGGATCCTACTTGGCGTGCGTACATTCGATTTCTGACCATTCGCGCTCTAATTGAAGCGTTTGCACTCACCCACTATGCGGCCAAATTTCCCATCTACATGGCTACCAGCAAACAGTTCCGCCAGGAATTCTGCCGTCGTTTCTGTCGTTGTGCCCGTCCATCAAGGGAAGATGAGCTACTGTCTGCTTCTATGAACGTGCCACCATCTCTTCTTACTCGTGTTTATCGATCAAGGTCAGACATATTTCATGCGAAACGATCGCACTCCAACTCCAGATCAGCATCCGTGGGCACAAGGAAAGGTTTGATCAGCGGAAGTCCGGAACTTTCGGTCAAACAGAGTCTTGTCCCAATGCAACCTCGACGAAGACCATCACCGGGTTACTCCAGAACAGTGATAGGACCTGATGGGACCCGCGTGCCAGTTGCTCTTCATGAATCCTAATAGTGCTCATAATATTTGCTTCCGTGAACAGTTCCCAGCCAAGAAACGTGATGCAATGTGATCATTTCAAGTAACACTGACCCGTGTGCACCCGTTGTAAATCACATGGACAGTTAGTGAGGACATTGGCTTTACTGGTATCAGCGTTCCCTATCTGATATTTCCTCGAGACAACTGGAACAGAGATAAAAGTAACTCAGTCTCGGCACTTCATAACATATAATCACCTTATACGAAAGAATGGCCATGAGTAATGCCGTTATTGTATATTGAATATTGGCTATTTCGTTGCACTTACATACAATTATACAATTGTCCATCCATTTATGACCAGAGAAAATCCGAAGATGCTTCTGTCACTTGTCAGTTTTATTGAGGGATAAACATCCACACGAAAGTACTTTTGTATTTCCATGCTTTCATTAAAGTAGCCCTGCGTGCACAATGCCCGGAAAATAGGTTTACGCATTTTGAGCACCTTAGTGTCAAACGGTTTAACGAGATTTGGGACCGTGGTAAAATTACTTTCCGAATTGTCGTCCAATGATGCCAACTGGGAGGAAACTGGTAGTGTTATTATTGAATTTAGTTGGACTAGTATCAATCGAAGGACACTCCTGGAATTTTATGATGCACGAAGTCTATCGAATTATTACACTTTTACCAAATTGGTTGAGAACTAAATTATAGGGTGTTGATTTCTGTTCGTATCAGATGTAAACGATGTTTCTTGACAAAGGTTGTCTAATTATATACTCGACTTTGGTTTGTCATGTGATATAGCCTGGTTGGTGGTTTTCGATTTTTCAGGGTGTGACATTACCGTGAATCGTTAACGAGGTTCATCAATGAAACTGGGAATTTGTTGACAGTAGATTCAAACTGGTGTCCAGTTCCACGCGTTAGTAGTTGATGTCTCGTAGAACGAACTTGATGGGTTCGCTGAATCACTCGCAGTTTCCGTAGAACCTCAGCTGATACGAAATGCGCATCGTTGTACCCATGGATGTTCTGATATCCATGATACCATACACTGGCCTTTGTGTGGATTGCATGATATTCCAGCTATCAATCCGTCAGTTGGTTTCTTAACATATTTACTGTTGAGCGAAACAAAGTAGTGCATTTATGGCGATAGAAATCGACCACCAAATTGTATTCATCTTGACCCACCGAAATGTCACGCAAGTGGCATAATTGAGTGAAGATAAAAACAAACAAACCGGTAAATTCATCAACAGGCAAAAAACCACATACAAGATGACAGTAGAATAACCGCTACTTTCTGTCAGGATGGAACTTTATCATGAATGATTTAGATATCAGTCCTGCTTATTAGATTACAGTGNTATTTGATTTTCAGGTTTTCAGTAGCTAAAAAATATACCGATTAATTTCAAGTAAAAATGAATCAGATTGATAAAATAATCTCACACAAACTTCTTTAATCCATCTATTTAGAGACAACATCGCTTATCCTGCGAAACGTGTTTAGAATGTTCGCTTCGAGGGTACCTTGAAAGAGTTTAAAAAATTAACTTTTCAAGTTAACATTTCAGTTTAGATTTCATCCTGTCTGAAAATACGTTAAGTAAGTTACTCTTATTTTTCCGCTGCTTGTGCGACGAGGAAATTCAAAACGTGTTATTATTTTTCGTTTCTGAAGTCGGATCCCGTTTGATTCTGTGGAATTATCCAAGTGAAATTTACCATTTGGGTGATCACATTAACCGTGATTTGTTCTTGCCATGTTGAACCAGCCTAGTTATTCGTTTAACCCATCTAGCCAAACTTGTTTATTCATTTAATGAATTGCCCAAAGACACTAAAAAGAGGAAGCTATGTCAGTAGCATGATTAATCGTCTTTCCATCATTTAGTTTACTTTACTTTGAGTAGTTCAGCAAAGCTTAGGAATAACAACTCATTCACATCCTTATAAAGAGAACGGACAAAGTGCCACTGTGAATCACCCATACAGTGACCTATAAGCAATTAATCATCAAAATCATTCTCTGTGTGTGTGACACAGGTCAGTTTTGAGCTTATAACAAGATATAGGCGATAAAACTAAACCATTGGAGAATTGCAGTGTGGTTATCCTGTGAAAAAAATCGTTTGATAGTTGTATTACAAGCAGAACTATCTGAACGTTTAATAATTTTATTTGCCATGAAGAACCATCAAATGAGTAAAGAAACAGTTCAAATGTTATGCAAAAGCTAGGATATTTCCCATGCATGGGTTCGGATCCCGTCGAGGTTATCGGTATTTCCATAGTCCAAACACAAGGTTGTTGTATATGTGGTATCCACCAAGCGACATAACTATAAGAAATACAGTGTATATAACGAAAATTGGCAATGCCCTGTGTACCGTAATTTATTCCTGTTTTACCTGGAATGTACATCGCCTGAAGTCAGCTATGCTGTTACGTTGTGTAACAAGAAACACCCAAATGGGACAACTGCTAATGTCGGGTTATATCTCCTTGTCGGGACATTATCGCTCTATTAAATCAACATCGGGCTGTGGAACGTTTATTTCTGCGTCCATGAAGGATCTAATTGTGATTGCGTATATATGAGCATTCTCGTAAGTCAAAAATGCTGGCAGGATCTTATCCCTTTTTTCACTCGAAGTATCTGACTGATGCATTTCTTAAAATACGGTGTTGTAAGTTCCCCAATTCTAGTAGCCTTATCCAGCAGTCACTATGAAATATGTAAAAGTTGCAATATGTGATGTTGCTTTACTTGAAAAGATTTATATTTCAATAATGTTGGTATGTTGTTTCCATGCAACACTATCAACATTTAGCTTTACATTTTATTATGCAACTAAAGTGTTGAAATTAATGTTCATTTCTAAATAGAACCAATGTGTTTTCAGTACAATAAATGAAACAGTTTTTAGGCTCGAAGTATTATCAAGTGTCATTGTCAGCTGGTTTCCAGCCGTATTCCAATGACAATCAAGGAAGAATGGACCTGTGCAGTTAATCCATGCATTAATTTATCACATGGAATGGATACATCATGAGAAATGCATTTTTATAATTTGGTTAATAACACATCGAGGATCAATGTACAGGTGATATTTCTTTACTGGGAAAAACGTGTTTAAATTTTGAGGAGCAAGAAATATTGTGTTCCGCATTCAAATAAACCGAGTAAAGTAATACCATCTTATCTCATGAAATGTAATCTGATTGGCAATTCCTTTTTCAGCCACTAACTTCTAAATCATGTTTTCTTTTCTTGTATCATTGAGAAATTCGTGCGATTGAAACGCCGTTTTAACTTTATTCGATCAAAATGTGTCACAATTTCCATTCAAGACACTTCTTGAAAATTATTGGATTATAGCGATTTTTGAAAGAAATCTCTGCTAGAGTATGGAAAGCAATGCTGGGTGAGTAGAATAATCAGGGTGTAAGCTCAAAAGGAAAGCTTCGAGAATTTATGGAGCGGAAGACATTAAGAGCAATCGCTAAGTTAGTCAGTAAAAGTATAAGCTGTTTCCAGGGGTAAAATTAGGAAGGCACATATGAAAACTGTGTTATGCACTGGTTTTTGAAATTCTTGTGTATCATTTCAAATTATACAGTGATTGTTTTAAAAGTGTGGGATACAATAGAGTTTTTCAACAGTCATTACTTGCAAATAGGAGTCGTTTAATATCTGTTTTGCGGTTGATTCAGAAACTGCAAATGACCGCTACCCGAAGATGTGTCTGGTAGATTCATTTACTGTCTGGAACTGGTTTGAAGTAACTCGAATACGAGCAATTTTGATAATGTTCCCAACATATTTTGTGGATCCTGCGTAATCAACTGGCAGTGGAGTAAACTAGAAAGCGTTTATTCGCTACATATAGTGAATAGCTGAGATGTACGACTTCCAACGTATTCTGTTCCATGATCAAGGTATTTATTTCACCTGAATCCAACGTCATACTATGCGACCTTTTCTAGTTTGCATATGTAAACGATTGGTAACGGATTTGTAAAACATCACATTATATCAATAAGTTATATTGATCGCAGAGGATTTCACTTTATTGTTATTTCGTGATCTCCTTATGGTAACTTAACTCACTTTTGAAACACTGATTTCCGTTAACAAATATCAAAAGGGGACAGGATAAATATAATTGCATTTTTTCGGGATTATTCTTCAACATTTGTGCATGTAGCTTCCATGGTGATTTTTATGCTTAAAAACAATAACGAAAGTGTAGTAAAAGCAGCTTTCTGAATAACAACTTCATCACTGTATTAATATTGGGTGTGCGAGTTGACCGCCATCGAAAGGTTAACATAACATGTCATTTAAGCTGTTTTCCATTGACTGGGATTTTGTTTTTGTTTTTGACTAACTGTTTCTGCATAGTTGAGTGATTTAGTTCAACACTTTCTGTGTAGTCTGAGGCCAGTGTGATTCTCTCGTGGCCGTGAGACGTGCCTCAATTGCGGTAAACCGTCTAAAACTGTCTCTGTTTCGATGTTTCTCCTACTGAGGAATGTACTGAGCAGCCTGTTTTAAAGTTGGGAGTTTAAGAAACATGAAAATCATTTGTCTAGACTGATATAAACAATAAAGCTATTTTTGTGCTTACTATATGTTTGAAGTAGAAACGGTGGGGAGCACCGGTTTAGTTAATGTTGCCACTTGGTTATTCGAAATTCGCCACAGCGAAGAGGCTTTTAGGTCTCCCTTTTATCCACACAGTCAAACCGTAATATTATTTTGTCAGTTATGAAGTGTGTACGTGAACGTTCGTTAGGAGTGCAGAATCAATGCCATTACCGCAACCCACAGGGTTCACAAGCCCGATTATTATTGGCGAAGAAAGCCCTCAAATTCTCTGCCGTCTATTCACTGAAATGACCATTTATTGTTTATTAATCTAAGGTAGTTTGTCACTAAAAGGTACCCTCCATATTGTTCTTCCCTTTCACCTTTCTCTCGGGCGATCGATCTCTTGGATAATTCTATC